GGTGCATATTCATCAGCAAATTAACCACCAATCTAACAGTTGGTTAAGGTGGACAGTTAGCCAGCTAGCAATAACAACATATTTTGAACACATTTATAATATTGGTAACAGTAAGTTAGCTATTATTATAAAGTTATTATGCCTACTGTAGCCGTCACTAATAAAACAGACATGTAACATTATGACCCATCAAGTTACTGACACATGGAGGAGAAGAAAAAACAGTTCTGCGTCCAGCTATACCCTTTAGCTGCTTCTAGGGTTTTCCTCTCAGTAATCCCAGACCAGTATTGGCTCCATGGTCAGACTAGGAAAGAAATTCAGCCTTGGACTGATCCACTTGGACCGGCTGCAGGAATGACACTGATGGAGCCGGTAAAGACTTTAAAAACTTTATGGATGTTTTGACGGTCCACCAGCCTAGTGTTTATAAAGGTGGGGAGGACCAGTGGTTTAACAGGAGGAACTCACATGCACTAACATGCACACGCTACCAGAGCGGTTACCAAAACAAAGACTGGAGAAACTCAGACACTTCTCTGCTCAGGGCGCCATTACTCCACTATATCTTTACATAGACAATAGTTATTTGCTGCTGTATTCGTGTTTAAAATCTTGTTTACAAAACCTTTGGTGTTTGTTGGTGGTTCAATCTCTGGATCCAGATCTTGAAGTGAAACTTGAGAAAGATGTTAAACCCCCAACATGTTTGCATAAAAACATTTTGTAAGCTGCTTTAATCAAAAGTGAAAAACCCAAACATCTATGTCCACTAAGATAATGGCTGTTTAGTGACATGCACTTTGGGGACTCAGATAGTGTTGGTTGTTGGTCCTGTAGATTATGAACTGAGTCTCCCCAGCAGTTCTGTAGATCTGGAGCTCAGGTGGACTGAGTGACTCATGCTGCTCTATTTTACATGTGTTGGTCTTCTGCAGTGAAACCTCCCTATTTGTAGTAGGACTGTGTTGGAGGCAGCGTGTCGCTGTGGTCATCTTTAGCCCCGGGCTCTCTGCAGTAAACACAGTTGATAGTACTCCTCTCTTCAACACTGTCGTCCAGTGAGAGCTGTCAACTGATGTGATTCAGCAGGGGAGACTCTGCTGTACAGAGGGGACGGACTGCGAGCGTTTCATCACTGAAATACAGCTTTAACAAGGGAGTTCCCATCAGTGAATATACAGTATGATACGTGTGTGTGAATGTGACAAATTTAAAAAATCGGCAGATATGTATGATACATTATGACACAGAGTAAAGGACAGTATTATATGTGCACTAACAAAGAAAGGCCATGACATAAGTTGTACAGTGTTGTGCATGTCTTTGAATCTAGTCTGAAGACAGAGGCCTGAATGTGTTGTAACCACATTATGTTGTTTGCATTCATGATCTGAAACTGGAAACTGGATCAGTAGAAAAATATGTTGTATTCTCTAAAACTAAACAGCTTGGGTTAGCAGACTGTATGAGGGTGTGGGGTGGGGGTTGGGGGGGGTGTCAGGGTAGGATTTAGTACAATGGAATTTCAGTATAGAGTATAATAGAGGCATTAACCATGAAAGTGAAACTGCAGTCACTTCTCTCTCTGGATGTGAACAGTGCGGTTTATAATCAGACCACTACAGATTAGCAGGTGTAATTTGACATACTGCACATGATCACCTGTTTTTTTTTGTGCATGCAGATCTTAACTTCTATGTCTTATACATTTTTGTAATCATTATTATATTATTTACATATGAAGTTAAATTAAAGTAGGTTGTAGCTTTCAGTCAGTCCGGGTTTGTGATGAGGGTTTTATTTTGGCGTCCTGTTATTGTTGCTTCAGCATCATCACATGCTCAGAACAGGTTTTAAATACAGGTTTTACTATAGTCGTGCATCATTACGTTACAGTAAAATCTTATTTTAGCCCAACCTGTGACATCTGAGTTACATACTCTCCTTGTGTTCTCTGACAGGTCAGTCAACATTGCTCTGAGTGCTTGCTGTAGCCGCTCTGGTTGACAACACTGTATTATGTAATGGATGAATCTCCGTGATGCTACAGCGGAGGCAGAGCCAGTCTCCATCTGCTTAGGGACCGACAACAAATACATGACAACGATGAAACGTAAAATGCTGCCAGATGTGGTCGTACTGAAGCGTGTTCCTGATAACTCATAGACAGTATATATACGTATAAGTAGCTGCACGTGTAACTGGCCGTAGCAGGTGTGAATGGCACAGCTGGTGGTGTCAGTGGAGCGGGACAAAGAGATGCTGTGGTGTGTGAAGCCCTATAGTCAGCAGGTTACATAACTGTGAGCCGTCCTCCTGCTGCTGATACAGTGAGATCACACAGAGCAGGCTGGATGAGGCCGCTGCTTTCATTTACACTGTGATGTGTTTTCACTCAACGTCCAGCTCTGTTCAACACACACCACAAAGAGCTGCAGCCTATTCAGACAGCTGCTGAGTATGGTAACATGTCAACTCAGCTGACTGCAGGCGGGGTCAGCCAGATAACGAATATCTCCTGTTTATTATCATGATGAAATGAGCCATAACAGATCATCTGAAACAGTGGAGATCAGGGACAAAACAGGTTTAGATTTACAAATAAATTATCTTGATCATTTTCAAAACCTTTGTACACATCTTAATTAAATGAGGTTTTGGCTATTTAACCATATTTTAACATTTTTCTATAAATTACAGGGTCATCAACACCGTCAGACACATATAAATGTCTGCACTTTGGGTTATTTTGTATTTAATTTCCACAATGAACGGTGATACTTAGAAGCATTAAAATTACACATTCATTTTGGAAATGTAACTGGTTTATAGACAACTAATCTTGAAGTGGTGGCATCAATAGTGGTGACAAGCTAGTAAAGAACAGGAAGATATTTTACATTGACCCAGTTTTATGATATAATGTCTTCTGGAAAAAATCTGTGCAAGTGAAAATGCATTAACCTTCAAAATATTAGTTCGACTCAATAATCACTCAAGGGCCACTTACAAGCTTTTTTCCAGTCTACACCAGTGGACAGTTTGTTCAGTTGTCATGCTGGTGCAACTCTCATCATGTGACCGGTGGTCGTATGTAGGGGAGATGGGAACCCTGACCTCTGACAGCTGAGCAGACTTAGTAAGATGTGTTGAACTTCCTGGATAAAGTGAGTAAGTGGACCTTGAGTTAGGTTTATTTTGTCTACCTGACAATCAGCTGGCTGTTGTCTCATTTTGACCGAACCAGTGAACTAAAAGCCCGATGAACTGATCCTGATCAACGAGCTGCTCATTGACCTGCAACATGTCCTATAACGGTCTAATAGACAGATATTAGAGGGAGAAATACCACAATATAAACCCATTTGTATTGTCTCATTATGTCATACGTCACCATTTGGCTTAACCCTAGTTTCAGAGTAAAACTTTACCTTGATAGGTGGTTTTGAAAAGTTTTAGTCAGCGAGGATGCACAGCTGGAATCAAGCAAACAAGCAAACAAACAAACAAACAAACAAACAAACAAACAAAATCAAAGCCTCTATAGAAACATGTCAAACCAGTCCAGAAGCAATGAGGACCGAGACACAGGCTGATGCAGGGAAGTGCTTCAGAAACCAGGCTAACAGGGAGGAGGTGGATGAGATGACAGACAGGAAGACACACCTGGATGAGATGAGGAACACAAGGGAACTGAACCAGGAGCAAGGGCAGACGATCTGACAGAGATCTGACAGAGGCTTTTCTTTATTCACAACACATGGAGGATATAAACTCATTTTCTAACCACGAATCAAAACAAACAGGATCTAAATGTTGATATAAGATGACATGAAGGGAATATACAATTAGAGAAAATTAAGCCATTGAAATAATAATTTAATGAAAATAAGGAACTGAGCAAGAGGTCAGAATAAAGTATGTAAATAAATGAATAAAAAATATTCACATTCACACATATGTATGTAGTTTCCTGACATGGACGCTTTGACCTTTTTTATACATTTGTTAAGTAGAGAAAATATATTTTTTTAGTGCTTTACACAATGAGGGGATTGAGTGAAAGCACTTTTATGTATATATGTTTTTGTTATGATAATGATGTTAACTATAAATTCAATATGCTTGTTCTTCGTGGTCACTCCTGGCTGATCTGAAAGAGAAGAAATCTGTATTCATGGATTTGGAGCTCAAACAATCATACCAAGATTTCCATAACTTTTAGACTCTGTCACAAACATAAAACTTGGGGATTGAGGAGGAGAACAGGTGTGCGCAGGGGCGGGGCAGACGGGTGAATGGGAACAGGGAAGGAGAGTCTGAGGACATCTGGTGGATGAGTGGAGGAAGCAGGACTGCAGCGATGAGGGGAGAAACGAAGGCGGGAAAGAGGAGGCAGAGGGGAACAGGAGCAGATCGTTTTCCACTGTTGAGCCACTGTGTGTTCAGTATGGTGTGATATTCCGTTGATATTTAGATTATTTTTGAACCTGCGACTCAGTGTTAATCACACAACACTGCAAAGACTGAGAGGACTGCAAGGAGCTCAGCAGCGCTTCTCTTCTGACGGACGTCTCACTACTAAGAGGCTTGTTCTTTTATTTTGGAAGAAGGAAGTGCCAACAGTTAGACTTCGGCTAACTGAGTTTACAGAAACTCTGGATTTAGAGAGAATTCTTTTTATTCTTAAAAACAAACGTTGTTGACTTTGTACAAGAAAGGCTAAAATGTCTTAAATCCTGATTATGAAGGCAACATCATAGATAACACACCAGGGGTGGGTGGAGGGGTAGGTGGGGTGGGGTTATTCTGTTCTTGTTCTGTGAAGACCGCTCTCTGTGTTGATGACTGATAGATGGTCCACTTCAGGGATGCTGTTTGTGATGTGTGTCTGTTTGTTTGTTTGTTTGTTTGTTTGTTTGCCTTTACGAAATGGGACCCGTGTTCATCTGGTTTTCAGTGTTTAACAGCTCACTGTGGCTCTTCTCTCTCACCAGGTTCCCAATGTTGAACATGTCCACCCCCAGCGAGCTGAAGTCTCCCTGTGTGACTCGTAACGGTATGGTGAAGTTGCCCCCCAGCCAGCCCAACGGTCTGGGCAGCGCCAGCATCACAAAGGGGACACCCGCTGCCAAGAACCGCCTGTGCCAGTCCTCCTCAGTCCCCTCCATCCTGCCCCCTCCACCTTCCTCCCTCCCCTACCACCACCACCACCACCTGGACGGCTCCGGCATGCCCCACTCGGCAGCCTCTCTCTTGGGCTCCGACATGGAGCCCGGAAAGCCTCTGGTGGGCTTGAAGCCATCCCTTCGCCAGCTACCCCCCCTCACTCTTCCCAAACCCCTGCTGCTGGAGCGCCAGCTCGTCCTGGATGAGAAGCTGCTCAACCGACTGCTCTGGTACTTCACCACAGGTGAAAAGTGTGTGCTGGCGCAGGTGTGCAAGACGTGGCGCAAGGTGCTATACCAGCCCAAGTTCTGGGAGGGCGTGACCCCCATCTTGCATGCCAAGGAGCTATATACCCTGCTGCCCAACGGGGAGAAGGAGTTTGTCAGTCTACAGGCCTTCGCCCTGCGTGGCTTCCAGTCCTTCTGCTTAGTGGGCGTGTCAGACCTGGACATTTGTGAGTTCATCGACAACTACCCGCTGTCCAAGAAGGGGGTCCGCTCAGTCAGCCTCAAGAGGTCCACCATCACAGACGCCGGTCTGGAGGTGAGTCAGGAGGTTCGCAGAGGACTGGGGTTATTGGTTATTGAGTAGTTCAGAGTGCCTCGGAGATTAGAGAATTCCTAGCTGTATTCAGAGCTGTTCAAGCTCTCCCTGCAGACTCAGTACCAGAGTAGTGGAAGTGGTCAGCAGCAGCTGTGAGCAGACAACAACATCTCATAGTTATTTGTGGAAAGAGCCATTAATATTATTCCCACTGTTTTACTTAAACAACATATCTTATTGATCTGTTTACATGTTGTCTAGATAAATTCAGTGTAATGTCTAATCCCAGAACAACAATAACAACAAGACATGTCAGAGTCTCTGCTCCAGTTCGCTACTGTCAGGGGAATTCAGCCCTTCCTGCACAGATGTTTCACATTAAAAGCATTCCAGGTGCTCAAAGTATCCTCCTCTTTATTTTGAAAGATGGACAGGAAGGGTTGAGTTTCATTAACACTGAGGAGCAGTGGCTGTAAAATTGTAAAATGAAGACATTGTCAGTGTGAGAGCAGCAGAGTGGTGACTGTGACATGAGTTGTGGAAACACTGAATTTACTGGATGCATCATGAGGGTCCCCAGTGTTTTTATAGTGAGTGTCATTATTTGAAAACTGGATTTGATTGGATGATTTCAGCTGGAGACATTTCTCAGGGCGCACAGACGAGCTGCAGTTAAACCAGTTAGTTTTTAGGTTGTATAGAAGTGAATATGTTTGCATATTAGCCTGTTGGTTGTTATGGTAACAGAGCATGTTACACAGAGGTGGTGAAACAGGTTGTTGCTCTGTCATTAACTGAGCTCAAGTTTAAGGTTTAGGACGGGTTTGTTGTCTGGGTCAGAGTCACATGATCACTTTGACCCCACTGCACCCACAGGTCAGTGTTTCTGAGGCAGACCTGGTTTAACTGAGGCTCAGTATAAGCTCAGGTCATTGTATTATTTTCTTTTGAAGGCAACAATAAAACCAAGGGTCAAACTTATAAAATAGTGTAATTACAATTATTGTGACACCTGCACATTAGTTGCATGTTAACACTTTCTGTTCCCTCGTTCTGAAGTATCTGTTTTTTTGAATGGCTTTTTGGTTACATGACTGAAATAAGATCTGTGTTTAACACAAGCTCAAGACATTTTCATGTTTTATTCTACAACATAAAATACGTCAGTAAATACCCCTGTCCTGATTTCTTTAAGCTTTTACGTCTGTTAAAAAAGGCTGGTTGCTAAATGAGACTACAGAGGTTGTCGGGGACATTAAACATCATCACGTTGAACATGAAAACTGATCTACTCTCCAGTCCACCTTTACAGCCTCGTTGTGTTTATACAAACTGTTATTAACTTTGTAAGAGGAAAGGCTTCTGTAGAAGAGGTCAGAGCTGAATCAAACTACATGTTAAAGTTTAGTGGTGGAGACGTTGAAGTCATGTGACCGTGGTGTCGTTGGTTTGTAGCCTAACATTAGCTTTTTACTTCTGCTGATTGTATTTAGGCGTCAAACATCATGAAGTGGTGTTCATTCGTGAAGATGATCCTGCTGAACTAAACCTGTCAGCATCATAAACTGTTTGTCACAGAACTTATTTTCTCTAATAATCCAAAAGACAATGGAAAAAATCCCATTGGCTTTTAGTAGGGGGAACCAGGGTGATGCTAACTTCAGGGTTGGACCACAAACATATGTCATCCCTCTGTGGTGTCACTTCTTCCTGTATTCTTTTTTGCTGCCAGAAAATGAATAATCAGTTTTTGGCTGGACTGCAGCAGCGAGCACTATAATCGCCAATGTTCCTGACTGACTGACTGACCGAGTGATCATATTTCCATCACTGTCCAGCGGACCACCGAGCTGCAGGCTACTGAGCCACTCTGGTTTCCTGCAGGGAAGAGGAGGAGTGCTTCTAATACACTGAGCCTCACCTCCATTACAGCAAATAAACTACTTGCATTACATATCTCATTATTACTAAAGGAAGCAGAGGAATAACTAAACATAAGACACACTGAGCAGAGAGAGCAGGAGAGAGGGAGGGAGAGAGAGAAGTCATCGGTAACGAGGCTTCGTACTAACGACTATGAGCAACTCTACATATCAAACAGAGGGAGTCAGACATAAAGACCTGCCTCTAATAAAAGTCTGTCATGTTCTGGAGTTGAAGTAAATAAAGGCTATAGTGTTGTGGATCCAGATGGAGGCTGTGCTCTGTGTGAGATATACCGTATATATATATATATATATAGATTATTGATACTGTAGTAGACAGAAAGGAAACACAGAGAGAAATATTATGAATGTTTGATTCAAACATCTAGAACATTATTACTAACTGTTTCTCACTTGGTGTGATTCACAGACAGACTTCATGATCAGAGTCATCAGTGCACTGAGAACCTCAGTCATCACTCACATTCAGTGCTGTTGACTCATTCTACAACAGCGGACACAGATCACAGTAACACCAGTAACAGTGATGACAGTGATCATTCCATTGCCCCAGTGCATGCTAGTAAAACCTCAGCCCCGCCTCCTCCCCATCCCTCTACATGATGAGGTTCTCTGACAGAGCCGCGTCAGGCGGCTCAGACAGCAGATTCAGTATCTGATCCTGTACTCGTATTTCCAGAGCAGTCAGGTCTAGATTCATTCTAAACCCCCTTCAGGTTCTGGTTTATCTGGACCTGTTGTAAACCGCAGCAGCAGACCTGTTGTTTCTCCTTCACCTCCACTTTCATAATCTCTGTCTTTACTCTGTCATGTTCCATCAGCAGGAACAAAAGAGGCGTAACGCTCATAATGCAGAGTGTTTCTCAGATGGCTCTTCATACCTGCTCGGCTACGCTGCTATTCTGGGATGAGTGGATGGTTGCCATGGAGAAAGATGGAATTGTTGGCTGCAGGATCTATATATGGACTTTCCTGTTGTGGGGTGCTGATTTGTGTATTACCATTTTATTGCATCTTCAAAGGATGAGAGTGTTTAGTTTTATAGCACAGTCATGTAGAAACAGGTGTCTGTCAGATAATCAACACTCAGCTCGTTATTATGAAACGTTATTTCATCCTGCTTCTTTTTATTGCAATGACAGTTTTATTGATAATTCCAGCTTTATTCAGAGCAGGTCATGTGACAGGCTGAATGTGTGGTCACTTGATAAATGACAGAAAGAAGCAGAGGTTATGAAAATAGATGTTGAAGAAAAATGATAGTGTCTTCAAATGTTCTGACACAGCTGCCTCATATGATCTGTTACCATAATAACCAGTGTATGTGATGTTACTTCACTCCATTGTTGATATTAAATATGCACACACAGGGCCATTTGTCAGACTGAAGACCCAATCTGTTCAATATTAAATAAATAAAATATTATGAAAAAAATATACATTAACATTTCACCAGAAACGGAGACTAAATGGACAAACACAGCTGTGAAGTGAATATTTGACTTTGTATCTACTGAAAATCTTTGTCTACCTGTTTTGGAATAAACCATGAACTCTTGATCAAACTAAAAATGTCCCTCCTAGGCCACTGTCTGGACAGACACTCTAGATTGAACAGCTTAACACACTTGAAATACAAGATGTTTAAACAATGTCACACTTAAGGTTGTGATGTTTTACTGAATTTAACCCCAGGCCTCGTTGTGCTGATATTGTGATGCTGTGCTGATGTTCAGTACAACATCACAAGCTGGAGTGTGATATTGCTTTTATACAACAGTTTTACAAACGCCATATTAATTAACAGTAACAAGCAACAAAAGATTATGATTTGTTTGTAAATGTATCATTTATTTGGCAACACAAATAGTTCCACAACTGGACTGGTACTAGACTGTTGCTAAGCAACACATAAACATTTTCCTGACCTGCACACTAGCTTGTGCTGAAGTATCCAGGCTTCTTCCCTTCATCCTCTTCTGATGAACATACTGTACATCATTTCATTCAAATGATATTTATGGATATACTGTATATGTATATTCATCTTTGCAAAGTTTGTTACAATCTAAGTCAGATAACAACCGTTGATGTAACGCTGATAAGCGGTTAATAGAACACCTTTAAAGTGGAGGGATACATGTAGTTAAAAGTCCCAGTGCTGTTATACTCTATATCAGCACTCATTGAATGCCTCTCGTCCAATGAAACTACTTGGTCTGAACTAACTGTTAATATTTTACGTACCTTCACTGTAGTAATGATAGAGCTGCTCACACTGTTCCAGAACTGTACTAATGTTAACAACATGGTGTTTTGCAACAGTCCAGCACAAGGTTAGCAACAGATGTACTCACCAAAACTGTATGTAACAAGTGGAAATACATGTCAAAAATGAAACAGGCTACAAGTCAAATAAACAGGAAGAAGGAAAAACACCACAAACATGAAAATTATGTCTGTGTGTTTTTCATGTTTATGAATTTATCAATCTCAATGAGATCATAGTCAGTTAGTCGGTGTCCAGTTATGGATGAGCTCTTGACCCGTGTAGGACTTCAGGACCTACATGCAGCATTTTAAACATCACAAAGAGTCACAGCATTTATTTTAAGGTATAACATAAAACCATCTCACACATCTGTAGCTACAGTGCATGAAGTTTAGATTGATAGTTTGGTTAGATTTGGCACAAAACAGGAAGTGAGTTTTTCCACCTCAGACACATAAGACACAATAAGCCCTCTGCTACAGGCTACACATCACTAACAGATGTTTCCCGATGGAGAGATGGTGTTGTATACACCCACCTTTTCTCTTGTGTTAGTACATTTGTTCTAAGTACTGTACATAAGTACAATTTTTAGGTACATTATGTCAGTAATTCCATTTGATGCTACTTTATACTTCCACTGCAGTTTCTACAGCATTACATTTATTTGACAGCTTCAGTTACTTTAAAGATGAAGATTTTACACAATGTCAATGCAAATATAACAAACACATTGTTAAAGATTAAACCAGTGGTTTCAAACCTTTTTGTCTCCTGACGTCTTACAAACATCAGCGTGTAGTCAGGTCACAGTTCAGATATCTGTGAGTTAACAGCTCCATCATTTCAATAAATGTTCAAATGATCCAATAGCTCACCAATAATCAAAGATTAGAGAAAAAGTCTAAGAACTGAAAACAGGTTTGTGGATCAGTTCTTCGTTTCTTCTTCTTTCCTCTCTCATTAATCATGTGACGACCTCTCAGGTTTATCTGTGTCTCTGTTTGTAAAACCAGCTCCACCTGCAGCAACTACACCAGTAACATGCTACTGACACACTGATGTTTCAGTATTAATGATGTCATATATAATCAGGACTTTTACTTTAGTACTTTTAGACTTTTAGACCAGGACTTTCACTTGTGATGGAGTATTTTTACTTTGTTGTATTGGTAACATCATCACAACAGACTGTAGTTACAGACTGATACTGTGCAGCCATTGTCTTCCTTTGTCTTTGGAGGTCTTCAGATCCTCAAATCCTCTGTGACCACATGTCAGCAACTACATTCAGACTGGCGGTCTTTATGTTGCAGGTCATGTTGGAGCAGATGCAAGGCCTGATGCACCTGGAGCTGTCAGGCTGCAACGACTTCACGGAGGCTGGCCTGTGGTCCAGCCTGAATGCCCGGCTAACCTCCCTCAGCGTCAGCGACTGCATCAATGTGGCGGACGACGCCATCGCTGCTATCTCACAGCTCCTGCCCAACCTATCAGAGCTGAGCCTGCAGGCCTACCACGTCACCGACACGGCCATGGCCTACTTCACAGCCAAACAGGTGGGAAGCCAGAACCAGAGCTGGTGTTTCAGTGCTCACAGTCACACACCTGAACTGTCACAAACAAACGTGTGCAAAATTGTATTCCACTTTATTAATAAGGACAGTCATAAAGCCAGAAATGAAACAAACTGACTAATTAAAGCTGCATTTATCAATATTTTATTTTAAAGCTCCATATTATTTGAAGTGTTGATCCATGAGAAGATATATTTGGGGTTTTAAGAACCAAAAACCATCAGAATGTAGTTTTACATCTCCTCACTCAGGCTTCTCTCTGGAGCTCTAGTAACAACAGGTCAATGAGCCACAAAACAGTCCGACAATCAGAAGAGAGGCTCAGAGCCTCCTCTCTTCTGATTGTCTGACTGTTTTGTGATTGATCAAATAAAAATGTAGCAGATTTCAGGTAAACACTCAGAGAAACCAAATGCTGCAAGGCCGGTGGGTCCAGGTGGGTCGGGGCTTTGAGTGTGGCTGAGAGCGGTGACTATTTGGTTGTGACATCACAAAGTTCCAGAAGTCCTGACGGCTGGTTTTAGGGCTCAGTTTCTGAATACAGGCTGTGTGCATTTCTCTGAGAACTGAGCGCTTTGATACTTTCACAGTATTAATATAGAACCTAGACCTGCTTTATAATCAAACAACACATGGACATCTTCCTATATGAGACCTTTAACAATAGATCAATGACTGAAGGTCTGTCCTGATCAGGGTATCAGAGAATTAACATCAACTCTTCTGTTTCCCTGTTTTTTGAGTGTTGAAATAAAGGTAAAAAAAAAAGATTATGTAATGGCTTCCATCAACAATGACTCAATGACAAAATATGTATTTATGAAATGTATCACATGACTTAGTGATAACGTGAGGAAGACCATCTGCTAATGTTCAGTTGACATTTGTTCAGAAGGAGAAGACAGTAATAGAAGTGTTTAAGTTAAATGAAGATGAAGAGGGTGGAAGGTTTTTGACTTTATCCATGATCCAGGAAGTTCTGACTGTTTTTTTTATTTTGGAGGACACATGACTACACAGTGTATGGTTACTTGCTCTGTAGTGAGGATGGGATGGATTACAAATGGTGCCACAATTGCAGCAAAATTAGAGCTCAGCGAGCCATGCAGAAGCTGATGTTTCTTGTAGTGAAGCTGCCACAGGTTGTTATCAATGTCCTTTTCTTCACTGACATAATCAAATAAAATAAAATTACCCTCCACCCTCAGGGCTACACCACCCACACTTTGCGGCTTCACTCCTGCTGGGAGATCACCAACCACGGTGTGGTCAACATGGTACACAGCCTCCCCAACCTGACCGCCCTCAGCCTCTCCGGATGCTCCAAGATCACCGACGACGGCGTGGAGCTGGTTGCGGAGAACCTGCGTAAGCTCCGCAGCCTGGACTTATCCTGGTGCCCCAGGATCACCGACATGGCTCTGGAGTACATCGCCTGTGACCTGCATAAACTGGAGGAACTGGTGCTGGATAGGTGAGTGTGTTAAAGGAGGAGCTAAAAACTGTTCTTAAGTCAGCGATAACTCCAACATAAAAAAGTAGTATATAGCATAATAAAAGTAGTAATTACTAAGAGTAAGGAGGCATCTGGTGAGGACCTACGTATATGATCCGCCATTTATTCTGGACATTCTGCATTCTAAGAGTTAAAATACTGTGAGAATAAAGTGTGTGTGTACATGTTTGAAAGCAGAGTGTATATCCTGGTGTGTGTGAGCGCATGTGAGCAGCAGAGGATGAATTATGTCCTGGACGACTCCTCATGACTAACTGCTACTTAAAACACACAGTATATACAGAGAGGACAACACTACACCACCACAGTGGATCCAGTCAGTCACAGAGTCTTGTCAGTATAACACATTGTGGTCGTGGCTGAAGATAAATCAGTGTGCAGTGTGTTCCATGGAATAGAGCTCTGTAATGACGATGGTATTTCTGCTGAGCTCAGTTTAAAACTTCAGACTGGATCATCAGTTGTGCTTTGGCAATGAGGCTGCAGGGTGGAAATACAGGGAAACTAAAGAGTTTATAGCCAAATGATTTTGACATTTCTTTCCAAAAGCAGATGATTCGTTTGTTAAAAAAAAAAACAATTATTGAAATATTTAAACCCAGTGGTGACTGTCATAATGACCTTGATAATGACACTGATGGTAACAATTACTGAGACTATCCTCCTGTAAGAAACCAGCCCATAGCTGCTCTGTGCAGCAGCTTATTACGACCTATAGACTGTAAATAAAGATGGACGTAGCCTCTGTCACCCACAGGTTTCTGATGAGCAATTTTGAAGCTCAGAGAGAGCTGCTCCACTGTCGCGATCCAGGCAGCGTCTGACTCCGCCCCTAACTCCCAGCTAATCCAACAGTGGGCAAAGAGGAGGGGCGTGTGTGGAGCTGAGACTTTGGGGCATGTCAGTTTGTGACAAGCATACGCTCACTCACCTGTCACTCAAAGAGGCCACGCCCTCAATTCTCAATAGCTTTAAGTCTTAATAAAATGTAAACAGGTGAGTTATATAAACAGGTGTCATGAAGGAGGAAATTAGCTCTAGAGACCAAAACAGTTTTTGTACCAGGCTGTAAACATGTTTATTTCTGCTATAAAGTTGGGCATTTTAACATGGGAGTCTATGGGGACTGACTCACTGTTGGAGCCAGACTCTAGTGGTTATTAGAGGAACTGCAGGTTTTGGTTGGCTTTATTTTTCAGCCTCTCAGGTTGCAGCTTGGTGTGCGCCCATGTGCAACATGTACTTTTAAATGATTAACTGTCCTATCCCTCAACACAGGTTCATACATCCTCCCGTCTCAATGAGTGTGAGAAGCGCCCACAACTAAAGCTCCATATAAGATGCTACACTCAAAAGTTGTAATGTGATGATTTGTGATCACTACACTTGATAGTCTCCTCATGTCTCCAACATGTTCTGGTTCATGACCAGGTGTCACTCCTACAGTGACATGTTGACACGAGTCTCTGACCTGGAGCCATTTGCTCTGTGTGTCAGAGAGTTGCTTGTTATTATCTGCAGGACAGACATCAGAGATGCACATGCTGCTGATGTTTCAGCAACATGTTGGTAAGACCAACAAACTGGTGATATCCAGCAGAACAAACAGAGGTGTAGAGACTGAAGTGCCTGTACAGCTCAGTCACGGTGAAAAACATTCCACCTGTTAGTTACGATGAATGACAGTCTGCAGTCTGTGTAACAACTGTCAACCCATCAAGTTGTTTGGTCAGTCAGAGATAAGGAGGAAGGTTGTCTCTCTCTGGCTCTGCAGTAGGACTGAGACTCTGACAGTAGAAACAACATTAGAAGTTGGGGCACACACACATGCTCAACAGTTGAAGTTGTTTCTCTACTATCTAGTAGAATACATACAATCATACTGTTGATGTCAACTGTCATAGCTGGCTCTGCAGAGGGGCGCTCAGAAAGCTGAATCTGTTATTGTTTTATCAGGACTCTGTCCGCCCCCCTTTTCTTGTCAATGTTCATGCTACATGGGTCTGTTAAGGACCAACGGAAACCCAAACCATTATTTAATCTTTGTACATTTTCACTTACGTATGTCCATACTGTGATTCTACTTGACCTCAGCAGTGTGATTTTACATGTTGTAGAAAAGTGTTTTTATTTGTAGACCATTTTCTTTAGTCTCATTACTACAGCAGCCCTGAGAGCTCAACACACTGCAACTCAAGAAAACACTTGCAAATAGACAAAACACACACACATCCAGAAAACATCTCCAGTTTGACAACACATGAACCTGGCTTCGACTTATTGTTCAATGCTTTGTGACTCTGAAGTTAAAAGCACTGAGAGAGAGAGAGAGAGAGAGAGAGAGAGAGGATGACGTGCAGCAAAGGGCCATGGGTTGCACTCGAACCGGGGCCAGTTAGGACTAAACCCCCTGGAAACACTTCTGTTTGCATATATCTATTTGCAGCTCATGTGTTGTCACACTGATGAACATGTGCGTTCTTAAGTTGCAGTGTGTTGAGCTCTCAGGACCACCGTACATTACAGACTGTAGGCTGCCTCTCTGTCTTTTAGTGGACACTAGCTGCCTGTGTCTCCTGAATCTGAGCCAGAAGCTCACCTGTCTGTTCTTCAGTAGTGATTTTATAAACAGTTTAATATATCAGTCAGACCAAACCAGGACTTTGACTTTAATGCTTGAACTACTGTGTTTTTACTTTGATGTGTTGGTGTTTTTACTGTAGTAAAGGACCTGAATCCCTCTTCCATTCAGCTCCTCAGACTCTGAAACATCACAGCTCTCTTAATTCATATCAAACGTCCTCTCTGAAGGATCTGTAGACTGGATTTCCTTCACTGGGTCAGAAAGAGGACTGAGCTCAGTCTCAGAGAGTCTGTCATCACTTCAGCTCTCTGCCACTCACACTCTTCAGAAGCTCCCTCACACAGCCAGTCACTGTTCATTCAGTCACACGCACGCACGCACGCACACACACACACACACACACACACACTGCATACTTGTTATTGCTGCAGGGATTTACACTGTGATTTACTGTGATTTGTCTCTGCTCATCTGTCAGTGGCAGATTGATCTCTTTGATTTGATTCACCTCTGATCTCTGCTGTGGACTGATTATCACCCACATTTACAACATTCACATTAAAGCATCAAACACACAAACGCACACATCAGTAAACACTGCTGCAACATCAAAGGTCTCTGTTCTCTTCTGTTCTGGTTTACTGCCACGTTTGAGATTACAGTAAAAACTCAGAAGTCTTCACTCTGCCACACGCCTCATGCACTACAGGACCTTTTCCACCTGACGCAGACTCACTACAGGAAGCATTTCTCAGCCTCACTGGGGGTCTTAATCTGTGATTGGTGCAATCTGATGTTGCTATTTATTTGAACCAGATGAAAGATTTTAGTCATGGGACGTCTGGATCTGAAGTTATCAGAGAAACAAGCTGAGGAAATGTTAGACAGCTCAGCTCCCAGCTGCTGGAGACGTCCTGTCCTGTGTCACTGAAGTGCGTCGGTGAATCTCTGGTTTTTAAAGTGAAACTGCTTTATTCAGTGTTTCTACTGGTTTTATTCCCTGGTGTGTTTGTTATGGAGAGGAGGACACCTCTGTGGAGAATTCAGCTGCTGGTAAAAACCTGCTGAACGCCTGGTTCATAAGTTATCAGAGAAACAATCCAAACAAAGGTTACCCTGAGTTCTAAGACACTGGCTCTTTTAATCACAGCTCTCTCTTTATCTATGACGGCCTTTACTATAACCTTGGTTGCTATGGTCACTGCTGATGGGAGCTGAGTAAATGCTTCTTTGCAACTATGCTGAAGAGAAACAATGAACTGTGGTCTTCAGTCAGTGACGTATGTGGCCTGTGTGGAAACTCTGCCTCAATGGCAGAAAATAGACTTCATAGAAGATAATTCCATCACAGTGTGTGAGAGCTGAGGTGTATAGACGTGTCCTGCGTGAGTATGACAGCTTGGCTGTGACATAGGTGTAGGAGGAGGGAAAATAAATAAATATAGCCACAAGCAGCCTTCAGCGTTTGTTTCAATATCTGCACATTTAGGCTTCTGCCATTTGTCCCTACTTCGTCGGGTTTGTATGAAACTCAGTGTGTGTGTTCAGGAGATAGTTCAGGATGTGTGAGTGAGTTTAGTCAGGAATACTCAAAGGCATCTAGAGTTATGAGCAAATATATGACAGCCCACACCCACTTGTACCAGTCAATATGACACTTCTCCCTAGATCATGCCCACCAGGTTTTGAGTTACATGTTCTTGGTATTTGTGGCGCCCCCTATAGGTTTCGGATACTTTGGTTGACCTATTCCCAAATACAACCTGAGGATATGTACCAAGATTCCAAGATAAACCAAGCTGTTGATTGGACAAACTGTTATTGAGTTATTAGCCAATTTACTGCTAAGCTCTGCCCCTTGTGAAGTTTATTGGACAATATCTTAAAAACTAAATAAGTTATCAAAAAGCTTTACACAACTTTTGACAAACTTGGTCCAAAGATGATCTTCAGAAAATTTGGCAGCAGTCGGAACCTATGGTTTGGCAGGAGACATAAAAATGTTTTTCATAAAATCCATCATGGCGGAATTTTATAGTTCAGGAGGTTTCTTGTGGAGCTGGACTTGTGTGTCAGTTCTGATCTGATCCTCTAGGTCAGGTTAGTTGGCAGCATAGGTTACCATGGTGATGTACTTCCGTTAACAGTGATCCAGCTTCCAGCTCCATGATACATGTGTGTGTGTGTGTGTGTGTGTGTGTGTGTGTGTGTGTGTTTCCATCAGTGTTTCTACCTGCACCAGTCGGTAAGGAAAGATCCTGGTTTGCTTATGTGTGTTGTTTTGTGTTTTCAGGTGTGTGCGGATCACAGACACTGGTTTAGGCTACTTGTCCACCATGTCGTCATTAAGGAGCCTCTATCTGCGCTGGTGCTGTCAGGTAACACACACACACACACACACACACACACACACACACACACACACACGATTAGATTTTTCATGATGCATTTTAGATAAGGAGATTTATCTAAGGACAACCTGGGAACATGGACAATGGACAATATCTGAGAAGTTACTACAAACACCCAACAAGCAGATACTGTGAAAATAGCTGAAAACATTCAGGGAGAAGCTTTCAGTATCTCATGACCTACAAACTTTATACCTTTAACGTGAAGTATGACTCAGCTGCTTCCATCCAACATCCATATTATGGACAATGATAACCACTGCAGCCTCTGGGGGTTAATGTTAGTGAGAATTCTACAGTTTTAACATGAATTTATTATCCATTCATTCTGAGAACCATGTCAACGTGTTGAGCTTTATCACAATACAAATCACATTGTTCAAAATCATCAGATAGATAGATAGATAGATAGATAGATAGACAGATAGATAGATAGATAGACAGATAGATAGATAGATAGATAGATAGATAGATAGATAGATAGATAGATAGATAGATAGATAGATAGATAGATTGTATGACCTGTTGGTATTTGTTTAAAGTAACCATTAAAGATGATAATGGCAGGGAAATGGTCCATGTTTATTGATGTAAAAGTGATACAAAAAAAATTCCAATTGTTTGTGTGTGTGTGTGTGTGTGTGTGTGTGTGTGTGTGTGTGTGTGTGTGTGTGTGCGCGCAGGTGCAGGACTTCGGACTGCAGCACTTGTTTGGAATGAGGAGTCTTCGTCTTCTCTCCCTCGCAGGTTTGATTTCTGACTCTGTCAAACTGTGACCTGTCTGCACTCTGTCCTCACTGAGACGCAGGATTTAAATATAATAACATCAATCTTTAACATATAAGAACCTTGTTGTTGTCTGCAGCAGATAATAAGTGATAAACAAGAAGTAAAGAGCATATATGATAAAGTCAAAGTTTCAGTCAGCAGCATGTTCATGTGGATTTTTCATTTCATCTACTGAATCATCACAGTCAGTCGCACCGCTCATGCAACAATAACACCACTGTACAGAGCATTTACAAACATCTAAAATGAACTAGGTTTATGAATTACATCAATAATTGGGTCATTAATCACAAACTGGTATTGTTTTTTGACTGTAGAACCTGTAGAATACAAAGCTTGCAGAATATGATACAAAGACTGTAGACTTGGACATAAAAACATGACTGAATCAGCCATTGTTGTTTTCATATTTCTTTTTTTTTTAGTCAGTGATGAAATTTAGTCGTGGTAAACACAGCAAACATTTCAAACTAAAGGAATCTTTCTTTATTTCTAAACCTCCAAACATGGAGTTCTGCCTTATCTTTATCTAACGTAGCCATTGTCCAGAGTAAGAGCACTTCATAGAAATATAGTGGAGTCAAAAGGACAATATTTGTCTCTAAGTGTAGTGGAGTAAAAGTCAGAAGAAAAATAAACTCCAGTACATTACTGGAAGTAAATGTACTTAGTTGCTGTCCACCTCTGGCTGTATCTAAGTGGATCATATGTGTGTAACTCATCTCTGTGCTCTGATCTGGCACTTTAGTGCCATCTAGTGGCTGCGCTACTATTTTAGAAATACAGGGCCAAGATGACCTCATCCAGTCACAACGTTTACACTGTGTCAACTGTGCACAGATTAAATTTCACCATCTAAAAATGTGATTATGATGAAGTCTTAGGGCCACATTGAGGGAGAAAAAATCTGAAATTTTGAGGGTAAAATCATAATATTTCAGGAAAAAAAGTCATAATATTTAAGTTGTTGTTGTTTTAGAGGGGACATAGCTTTAAACTTAGGAACATGGAGCATCCTGTGAAGTTTTAGTTTAGGTTTCACAAATAAGGAGATACTTCATCTTTTGGCTCGTCATCATCATCATCATCATCATCATCATCATCATCATCATCATCATCACGATATTGAAAAGATTGTGAACAAACTGAGTCTCTTCTATTGTTCGACAGACAAACAGCAGCTGCCAGAAGCAGCTCAGGCAATTTTTTCTCTCAAAATTTTACATTTTTAATTCTGGTAACATTACGGTGTTATTTTTGTATTATTATTTTATTCTTGAAATATTATGACTTTTTTTCTTCAGGACTCAGGACAAACAAAACACAGTATTTAATATACAGGAGCCTCATTTTGCACACACAGGCCTCATCAGTGTTTTGTAGCTTCAGTTACAGGAAATGCTAATGTTTGATATTTCTTCATAGAGAGTGGAAACACGTCAGAGCTGAAGGTCGATTCAGTGATTAGTAGTTTGACAGAAATATAGTCTGCAACCAGTCTGAAGATCTTTCAATCTTTCAAGCTTCTAATGTGCAAGTAAAAAAGGTTTTGGACTGTTGGTGAGTGCCCCCCCCCCCCCCTCTTATACTGCCACCTACCCTCAGAGCTGGCCCCTTGCTGCCACCACTGGTCTGTCAGGCCTCATCCAGCTGCAGGAGCTAGAGGAGCTGGAGCTGACCAACTGCCCGGGAGCCACAGCTGAGCTCTTCAAGTACTACTCCCAGCACCTGCCCCACTGCATGGTCATCGAGTAAGACCACTGACCCGCCCCACTGACCAACCGACTGACCGACCGCCATACTTCAACCTCCTCCTCTTTACTCCTCCTCACTCTTTTCTCAAATGCTAGCCAGGAGACTGTACCACACCGTTCCTCATTACCCGCCCCCCTCCCTCCCCTCCCTCCACTCCCTCCCCCGCCCCGCCCCGCCCGTCTTCCTCCACACCCATTGAGTAGACTGACCCACAGGCGGACAGAGAGGCAGGAAGGCAGATGATGGTACATGCCAGACCCAGAGGATGATGGGATGGCGTTTGAGCTTGGTGTGAACAGATGCTGGAGTGCAGAGCTTGGTGTGACGTCTTGTCTGGCAGCAAGTCTCTCTTCAGAATCGACAGACGGATTTAGTTCGGAAGCTTCTCGACAGACTTTGATTTTTTTGAGCTGAGTGGACACTGAGGGGAGTCACATGTGCCGACACACGTGCTGCGCAGAGAGATTGAGAAAACGGAAATAAAGACCTCTGTGTTTGAGCTGATATGGTGGAACTCACACACATGCGCTCATACACTGTAAACACACTCACACACATACTGTATATGGTAAGTGAAACAAATGTAAGTACTCAAGACCATGAGTTCGGACATTTCTATCCCCCATCACTCGGTGTAATATAACTGCTGTTGGTGTCAGGGTTCAGTTTTCTCTTGATCGGAGAGAGACACCGTACGTCAGCTGGACAAACAGGAACTAAAGGTGCAGTTCAGGAACTCTCTCTCTCCCTCCCTCTGTGTGTGAAGTGTGCGTCATGGACTCGCAGGTTCCCGTCTTTTTGGGACACCACCACCTTTTTCCATTTCTGTGTCTTATCAGAAATCAACAAAACTTAAAAAAAAAAAAAACAAACAAACAACTGTTTACATTGTTTTTTTTTGTGTTGGAGTTGCACGCTTGATTGGCTCATTTGTTTCTCTTTTTCCCTCCCTTCTTTTATTTTTTTGTACATGTGTTAGTTAATTTACAGACCTGAAGGAGAAGCTGTGGTAAACTGTGAATGTTGTGTTGTTAATGGGGAAGGTGTCGCTGAAGGAGCAGCCGGTCACACAGAGAGCAGAGCCTCTGCTGCTCTCTCAGAACTGAATCATAGGCAGAGAACAGGTGAATGTGGTTCTTTACTGACAGCCATGATGTTTCTGAACTAAACTCAGTCTGATAAATAACCTCAGTTAGCAGCAGATGAGATATTATTCACTTTAAACGCTGATAGAAACCGGTGACGTTTAGTGTTTGAATCTGAGCTGCTGTGGTTCTGAAGCTGCTTGTGTGTGAACCCCCCCCCCTGATTTCACCTCTGATATCTCTGCTGTGGACTGAATTATCACCCACATTTACAACATTTCACATTAAAGCATTCAAACACACAAACGCACACATCAGTAAACCACTGCTGCAACATCAAAGGTCTCTGTTCTCTTCTGTTCTGGTTTACTGCACGTTTGAGAATTACAGTAAAAAACTCAGAAGTCTTCGCTCTGCCATACGCCTCATGCACTACAGGACCTTTTCCACCTGACGCAGACTCACTACAGAAGCATTTCTCAGCCTCACTGGGGGTCTTAATCTGTATTGGTGCAATCTGATGTTGCTATTTATTTGAAACCAGATGAAGGATTTTAGTCGCGGACGTCTGGATCTTGAAGTTATCAGAGAAACAAGCTGAGGAAATGTTAGACAGCTCAGCTCCCAGCTGCTGGAGACGTCCTGTCCTGTGTCACTGAAGAGCGTCGGTGAATCTCTGGTTTTTAAAGTGAAACTGCTTTATTCAGTGTTTTCTACTGGTTTTTATTCCCTGGTGTGTTTGTTATGGAGAGGAGGACACCTCTGTGGAATTCAGCTGCTGGTAAAAACCTGCTGAACGCTGGTTCATTAAGTTATCAGAGAAAACATCCAACAAAGGTTACCCTGAGTTCTAAGACACTGGCTCTTTTATCACAGCTCTCTTTTATCTATGACGGCCTTTACTATAACCTTGGTTGCTATGGTCAACTGCTGATGTGGAGCTGAGTAAATGCTTCTTTGCAACTATGGCTGAAAGAAACAAATGGAACTGTGGTCTTCAGTCAGTGACGTATGTGGCCTGTGTGGAAACTCTGCCTCAATGGCAGAAAATAGACTTCATAGAAGATAATTCCATCACAGTGTGTGAGAGCTGAGTGTATAGACTGTGTCCTGCGTGAGTATGACACTTGGCTGTGACATAGGTGTAGGAGGAGGGAAAAATAAATAATAGTAGCCACAAGCAGCCTTCAGCGTTTGTTTCAAATATCTGCACATTTAGGCTTCTGCCATTTGTCCCTACTTCGTCGGGTTTGTATGAAACTCAGTGTGTGTGTTCAGGAGATAGTTTCAGGATGTGTGAGTGAGTTTAGTCAGGAATACTCAAAGGCATCTAGAGTTATGAGCAAATATATGACAGCCCACACCAGCTTGTACCAGTCATATGATCACTTCTCCCTAATCATGCCCACCAGGTTTTGAGTTACATGTTCTTGGTATTTGTGCGCCCCCTATAGGGTTTCGAGATACTTTGGTTGACCTATCCCAAATACAACCTGAGGATATGTACCAAGATTCCAAGATAAACCAAGCTGTTGATTGGACAAACTGTTATTGAGTTATTATGCCAATTTACTGCTAAGCTCTGCCCCTTGTGAAGTTTATGGACAATATCTTAAAAACTAAATAAGTTATCAAAAAGCTTTACACAACTTTTGACAAAACTTGGTCCAAAGATGATCTTCAGAAAATTTGGCGCAGTCGGAACCTATGGTTTGGGCAGAGACATAAATGTTTTTCATAAATCCATCTAGATTTAATCAAACTATACACTTTTTCTCAATCTACCCCCAATTCACAATGCCCACTTTCACCTCCAACCCCCCAACCAATACAGCATGGCGGAATTTTATAGTTCAGGGAGGTTTCTTGTTGGAGCTGGACTTGTGTTGTTCAGTTGTGATCTGATCCTCTAGGTCAGGTTAGTTGGCAGCCAGTAGGTTACCATAGTGATGTACCTGTTAACCAAGTGATCCAGCTTCAGTCCAGATACATGTGTGTGTGTGTTGTGTGTTGTGTGTTGTTTGTGTGTGTGTGTGTTTCCATCAGTGTTTCTACCTCACCAGTCGGTAAGGAAAGATCCGGTTTGCTTATTTGTTGTTTTGTTTTTATTTTCACAGACACTGTTAGCTACTTGTCCACCATGTCGTCATTAGGAGCCTCTATCTGCGGTTGTTCAGTAACACACACACACACACACACACACACACACCACACACACACACACGATTTAGATTTTTCATATGCATTTTAATAAGGAGATTTATCTAAGGACAACCTGGGACATGGACAATGGACAATATCTGAGACGTTACTACAAACACCCAACAGAGATACTGTGAAAATAGCTGAAAACATTCAGGGAGAAGCTTTCAGTTATCTCATGACCTACAAACTTTATACCTTTAACGTGAAGTATGACTCAGCTGCTTCCATCCAACATCCATATTATGGACAATGATAACCACTGCAGCCTCTGGGGGTTAATGTTAGTGAGAATTCTACAGTTTTAACATGAATTTATTATCCATTCATTCTGAGAACCATGTCAACGTGTTGAGCTTTATCACAATACAAAATCACATTGTTCAAAATCATCAGATAGATAGATAGATAGATAGATAGATAGACAGATTAGATAGGATAGATAGAGAAATAGATAGATAGATAGATAGATAGATAGATAGAAGATAGATAGATAGATAGATAGATAGATAGATTGTATGACCTGTTGGTATTTGTTTAAAGTAACCATTAAAGAATGATAATGGCAGGGAAATGGTCCATGTTTATTGATGTAAAAGTGATACAAAAAAAATTCCAATTGTTTGTGTGTGTGTGTGTGTGTGTGTGTGTGTGTGTGTGTGTGTGTGTGTGTGTGTGTGTGTGTGGCGCAGGTGCAGGACTTCGGACTGCAGCACTTGTTTGGAATGAGGAGCTTCGTTTCTTCTCTCCCTCGCAGGTTTGATTTCTGACTCTGTCAACTGTGACCTGTCTGCACTCTGTCCTCACTGAGACGCAGGATTTAAATATAATAAATTCAATCTTTAACATATAAGAACCTCTGTTGTTGTCTGCAGCAAATTAAGTGATAAACAAGAAGTAAAGAGCATAATATGATAAAGTCAAAGTTTCAGTCAAGCATGTTCATGTGGATTTTTCATTTCATCTACTGAATCATCACAGTCAGTTGCACCGCTCATGCAACAATAAACACCACTGTACAGAGCATTTACAAACATCTAAAATGAACTAGGTTTATTGAATTACATCAATAATTGGGTCATTAATCACAAACTGGTATTGTTTTTTGACTGTAGAACCTGTGAATACAAAGCTTGCAGAATATGATACAAAGACTGTAGACTTGGACATAAAAACATGACTGAATCAGCCATTTGTTTTCATATTTTCTTTTTTTTTAGTCAGTGATGAAAATTTAGTCGTGGTAAATCACAGCAAACATTTCAAACTAAAGGAATCTTTCTTTATTTCTAAACCTCCAAACATGGAGTTCTGCCTTATCTTTATCTAACGTAGCCATTGTCCAGAGTAAGAGCACTTCATAGAATATTAGTGGAGTCAAAAGGACAATATTTGTCTCTAAGTGTAGTGAGTAAAAGTCAGAAGAAAATAAACTCCAGTACATTACTGGAAGTAAATGTACTTAGTTGCTGTCCACCTCTGGCTGTATCTAAGTGATCATATGTGTGTAACTCATCTCTGTGCTCTGATCTGGCACTTTAGTGCCATCTAGTGGCTGCGCTACTATTTTAGAAATAACAGGGCCAAGATGACCTCATCCAGTCACAACGTTTACACTGTGTCAACTGTGCACAGATTAAATTTCACCATCTAAAAATGTGATTATGATGGAGTCTTAGGGCCACATTGAGGGAGAAAAAATCCTGAAATTTTTGAGGTAAAATCATAATATTTCAGGAAAAAAAGTCATAATATTTAAGTTTGTTGTTTTTAGAGGGGACATAGCTTTAAACTTAGGAACATGGAGCATCCTGTTGAAGTTTTAGTTTAGGTTTCACAAATAAGGAGATACTTCATCTCTTTGGCTCGTCATCATCATCATCATCATCTCATCATCATCATCATCATCATCATCACGATATTGAAAAGATTGTGAACAAACTGAGTCTCTTCTATTGTTCGACAGACCAACAGCAGCTGCCAGAAAGCAGCTCAGGCAATTTTTTCTCTCAAAATTTTACATTTTTAATTCTGGTAACATTACGGTGTTATTTTTGTATTATTATTTTATTCTTGAAATATTATGACTTTTTTTCTTCAGGACTCAGGACAAAACAAAACACAGTATTTAATATACAGGAGCCTCATTTTGCACACACAGGCCTCATCAGTGTTTTGTAGCTTCAGTTACAGGAAATTGCTAATGTTTGATATTTCTTCAATAGAGAGTGGAAACAGCTGAAAGGTCGATTCAGTGATTAGTAGTTTTGACAGAAATATAAGTCTGCAACCAGTCTGAAGATCTTCAATCTTTCAAGCTTCTAATGTGCAAGTAAAAAAAGGTTTTGGGGACTGTTGGTGAGT